AATCATACTGTTTAATAAAAAATGAAAATTTTTTCTAAGAACGAAAATAATCGTAACTTTTTGGGCACTAAATATGATTCTGTTTACTAAATTGCTCTATCACGGCACAATTTTAAGAAATATTATAATTAAAGTTGCAAAAAACTAATGTAGTGTATTTTGACTACAATATATAACATGTTAGATAAGTTTTACTGCAAATAAAATTAAATTGGTAGAATTTTCAAGCTCTTAAGGGGATCTTAAAGTGAAAACCGAACGGAATTGTTATTTTACTGATTCAGTAGGAATTGCATACAAACGATTTACGTGTTACCGATACATCACTATACATTACTATATAATATCACACACATATAACGTATGTATATAAATTTTCATAGAAAGACATCACAGAATTAAATGATTAAATTTAATTCTAAGATCACAAATTAAATTGATAAGCAATTTTATAATTTGATGCTTAATTGGCATTATTTAAAGAGATCTTAATGTACTGAAAATTCATAAATCAATTTATTGCGAATTGCGAAAAGTTTTACTTCGGCCAGGAATCGAATCCAGATTTCTAGTATTCCATGCAAGCGTCTTAAGGCTGATCTGTTGTACAACAAATTTTTCAACGTGTTGATTAGTTACAGGACAAAAAGATCCGAGAAATTCTTTATCCTGCAATCAACAAGCTTGAAAAGCTTATTGTACGATAAAAAACGGGAAAACGAATGTAATATTAGCTTAAACTTTTAGACCATCGAGGCCTTAGTAATATTTTTCGCAACAACCGATAGTAGGAACACACGTACTTTTCAGAGCGTGTATAACAATAATAAATGATTTATTAATATCGAACAATGTAAATATACAATAAGTAAAAAATAACGCCATAACGATCAAAGCTGGATCTTAAGTGATTTAAATAATTCCATGTAAATTTATATACTACATTTGTAGTTTTTTTTAATTGCGCCGAATTGATTTTTCGAACTTAGAAACGCAACTGACTACTATATAATATAATTATAAATTAAATTGGCAAGCAATTTAATAATTTGATACTTAATTGGCATCGTTTTAAAGAGATCTTAATGTATTGGAAATCTGTAATTGCGAAAAATATTACATCTTCAGCTTCGCTACCGTTAGCGACCATTATAGGCGTTATTTCTTATTTATTTGTATTTACATTATAATATTTATACCTAATAAACTGTTTATTATTGTTTATACATGCTATCTTAAGAAATGCATACGCGTGAGATAATTAATTTATGCGAGTTACTTCCCAATTATCCGTGCAAACAATCGTCCTAATAAGAACGGATATTTCGTTAGGCGAGCAGAGAGAGATCAATGAGAGATAATTTGCCGGATTCTGAAAAGAATCTGGCAGCGATAGATGTTGACTATTAGGTATTGTTAGAAACGACTGTTAGGTATCGGTCGAACCGACGCCTTACACTATGCGATCTTCTTCAGAGTCGTGATATCGGGTATGTAGTATTGGATTCTCTTGTCAAAAAGATGCACGGTGATCGTGTGCATTAAGGTCCGCGTATCTCTATCTTAGAAGTAATCTCCAAGGCCAAGGGTAGTCTGATAATCGCATTCATTGGTGATAATTATTGCGGGTTGATCTTGAGTTGTTAATCAATATGATGGTTCACTTCTATCAACGGAGAAGTTGGGTTTAGGAGAGAATAAGATTCTTCTAATCTCTCTAGCTTGACGTCGAATATCTTGAGACCATTGATATGATTTATTCGATGTCCGTAAGGAGAAGCCGGGTCTTGGGAAAGAGATTCCCCGGACTTCTGGCGAATTACCGGATTGCGAGTGACTCGGGACCACTGACGGAAGTTGCTCAACGTCTGCTAGGATAAAGAAGCCGATAGTGTAAAGAGAGAAAAAATCTCTCCAAACCTCTGGTAAGCTGTCCGTTGAGTCGGGTTCTGTAGAGAGAATCTTTACGAAGAGAACCGCTGGCAAGATATCTGTGAGATCATCTGGAAAAGAATCGAGTCTAGGAAAAGACTTTTCTATTTGCTGAACTGATTGCCCTGTTAGTGGACGCAAAAGCCTCGAAGGGGATCGACTGCTTCTCAAGTCGAAGTAGATTTCTTACTTAAGCAGAGATTGTAGGCAAGCCTTGACAAGGGTTGTTGAAAGTTATACCATCTCTAAAGACGTCTCGTGATCAGCCTCCTTGGCTAAAAAGCCGAATGTTTATAAATTGATATATTTTTAATTAATTGATTATTTTAAAAAGCTTGTATTTTATATTATAAAAAAAATACTGGTAAGATTTTTAGCAGTTTTCCTTAGTCATGCAACAAATGTTGGTATTCTTTTATTTTTGCTTAATGAAAAATGTTCGTTTATATAGAACTGTATTTTTAAACGATTATTTTAATATCATTTCCTTTGTTAACTTATCTTTATAATATTCAATAATCAATTATTCAAATTATATTAAATTATATATATTTATATTCAAATTTATGTATACATATATTAATATATTAATATAGTATCACATCTCTATTTTATTTGTTAAGTCATTTTCCAGAAATTTGTAAATAACTATCAGATTAAATAGGGATTAGAGCACTATATTTTCATGTTAAATATGTTTATGAGACCACATTTAACGCACATCCGCGCAAAAGAGAGCCCACACGTATCACATTAATCGTTGAAATCGTGTTTTTTATGAGAATGACTTGAATCTTCATAAAAAAAAAACATGTAGCTCGTGCTCCATAGTAGTATGAGACTCTTGTAAACTCACTAAAAACACCTCCCTATACGTCATTCACCATCCACGAAACAAATTAAGCATTACATGGAGTAGTACAGCTGTAGAGTAGTACTGTTAGATTCTCATTTATCGTTATCCTCCTTCATCTCCTATTCTTACTTGATGCTCTTAGGATTGATCGCTTTCTCCTTTCTTGATCTTTTCGATGAAGATCCTTCAAGAGTTCTACCGCAATGTTTAAATTGTTGTCCACTTTCGCTGAGAAGTAAGTTGCCATAAGTTGAGCATTTCTTCTTCTACAGTTTTTTGTTAGTCCTTGTCTTTCACGCGATGTAGCTTCCGTTTCTCTTCCGCTATAAGGTCAAAAGACACCATCCTGCAATGACCAAAGCTGTTAAATGTGACGCAGTGTGATACGTACTAGACACTCGCAGCGCATACAGTCGCTGGACAGACTGTATCCTCTTCCTGTGAGATGATACCTTCATAGAATCAGTTGAGATAGATGCTCCATACATCGTTATTGATGTAACTACAATCGTCTTTAATTGACCTAGGTCTTCTTACATTGAGCATAATGCGCATAAGAATCGCGTTTGCTTTAGCAGCCTTGCTGCTGATATAGTCAAGGTGCTCCCCAAAGGATAGCCTTGCATCAATCTTAACTCCCAGGTATCTCACACAGGATTTGATTCAATTCTATGGTTAACAAGAGTGAGTGTTATCGTTTCTTTCTTTTTCCTTCTTGTAATTACGACTGCTTCCATCTTGTGCGCTGCCAGCTGGAGTCCAACAGTTGACAGCCACCTCTGGATGATCGTCACCGTTTCATGGGGGGCTCGTACAATTTTTTCCAAGATATTTCGCAACAGAGCACCGCCACATCATCTGTATATCGAATTATCTTTCGCTTCCTCAGATATGGGAAGACTGAGAATGTCATCCTACATGATATTCCATAGCAAAGGACGAAGAACAGGTCTCTGTGGGACCTCATCAGTGATATTGTATCCTTGGTTATGCCCTCATTCGTGCCATATCTCTGGATTCTATCTTTAAGATAGTCCGCTAAAATACACCGGATGTAGGCCGGGTAATATTTGATATCTTTTTATGCACGTGGCATATATTTTTTCTTTTTTTGAAAAAGATTTTTTTAGGGATTTTATTTATAGGTCTATTTCTAATATAATAATTATTAAAGTAGAGAAGAAGAGAGAGACAGAAAGAAAGAAAAAATTCTTTATTGCCTTTACATTTATTTATTTTATAAGAAATTTGATTAAGATACGTCAACAAATTTATTTCTTGCATTATGATAATTAAACAACACGAATATATAATCGCGATAAATAAGGTATGTTCGAAAACATTGCAATTTCGAAAACATTACAATTAGCTGCTCTACAGTCAAAATTAAATAAACAATATTTTATAAAAACAAGAATTTCTTTATTTATACTTTGTTTTGACAAAATACATTCTTTTATATATCACTAAAAATATTTAATTGCTTTTAGCAGTTTAATAAAGTCGCTATCATTATTATTGTTATTATTATTTTTATTATCATTAATATTATTATTAAAAAACTCTTAATTCTATATCTGCTGCACTGTATTGTATTTGCCTTCAACGCTATTTCGCATAGACCACAATATAAGACGAATACATAGAGTGCGCATATATATAAAGGCGTTTCGTACATATTTTAAAAATAATTTTTAGGAATATGATTATATGAATTCTCGTTATTTATGTAAAATACTTTTTTCGTTATCACGAAAAAATTAAAAAGGTTTCGAATATTATGAGTGAGAATGCTAGTGTTAAAAAAAATAAAGATTAAAGCAATCTTTTATTATAATCATTAAGTATTCTTGAAACCATTCAACTTTTATTCAAAATATTTTTTTTATCTCTCATAGTTTCGGCGATATTCCCTTTGAAAAAAAATCAAATTCTTAAAAAGAGATTTTCACCTCCTTATATAATAACGTATTCAACATGTATAAAAAATGATGTATGACGTATCTCTTATTTTTGTCTATATTTTCATATCCAAAATTTATTAAAATTGAAGGGAACATTTGATTATGTTTCCTGGTAAGTAATATTACCTTTCAAGTTATAAATCATGGACGCATGGACCAATACTTGAATTATATATATATATATCTATATCTGTACATGCTAATATGTGTATGTAGTATGTGAATATATATTAAATATTTGAACTTACGCTAGAAGTCATATTTCCCTGGTTAACGTGCTGTGCCGGCAATTTCTCCTGATAGAAATCATCGTTTTGGGAACTCGGTACATTCTGGACAAAATCGAGGAGCCGACGGTTTGGGCTGTTAGGCGTAGTAGGCAGGTCATTAGATAAATTCGGGAAACAAGCATTAGATGTACTGCGCCGATGCCGCGATAGACTATAATGTTCATAATTGCGATAACAACCGGGCCCAGTTTGAGCAGGTCCACGACCGCATGCAGATTCCCCCTCCGTGCTGTTACCATCCACTCCAGACATGTTATGACCTTGAAATAAGTTCAAAATCTGCATTATTCTCCAGAATAGAAAAATATATTGCTGAAGAAATTAACAATTGAATACTGTTATTTAAATGTATATTATTACCTACTTAAATATTATATGAATTAAACATTTTATGAACTACATGTAATAAACTACATAATAAAAATTATCAAGCACATTATAAATTGTGTTTAATAAAAAATATTTACAAGATACTTCGTAAAATTTACGCATTATATTTTAAAATGGATCAGTTGCCATTATATTATTACATTTTGGCATAACTTCTAGGAATTATCAGGATTCCTTAATTAATACAAATAGAATCAAAGGAGCATATATAGCTACACACCTTTCTCTCTTTCTCTGTATTTATTTGTCCTTAAATATAATGTTTACATACGACTAAAAAATTATACTATCAAATATCTGTCTCTTAATTATCTTTTTCTACAAATCCAAGTTTAGGCTCGGTGATCTCATAGTGTTCGTGTCACACTACGCATTGGAGATTAAGAATTACGAATTGAAGATTAGAATTCGATCAATCAGATAATTTTAATTTTAATCCGTTTCATTCTGATGCGTGGCTGAATTCTAATTCTCGATTCGCAATCCTCAATCTCCAATGCGTAGTGTAACACAGGTATAATGCTGCGTCTTTTTTATACTGGATTATTTTTTAAATATAAGAAACCGAACTCCGTCGCGTTTATCGACGACGTACTATTCGCTTATGATTTTAAAGTTTTAGTAAAGATAACGTCATCAGATATGATCAATCAATTACCATGCTGCCTATGCATGGCAAAATTTTCATAAACGACTAAGCAAGTTGAAAACATCATTATGTATGTATTGTAAAATTTATATAAGATATTTTACGTTTATCATTATTTAGCACCTATTCTATTTAAAATAATAAAGAATCATAAACTGTTTAAAATTATTAAAATTTTATTACGTTTTTTATAAAATAAAATAAATTAAATTCATTTTATACATTATTATGGAATTATTAATATGTCAGAAAGAATCATAATAAAATTATTTAAAATATCATGTTCTATGATTATCATGATTTTCAGAGTAAATTCTAAAAGAAAATTCTCTCCGTGTATGTATAAAATTTAAAAGGAAAGAAAGGAGGGAGAAGGAAAATCTTTCTATGAAAAGAAGGAAAGCAGGGGGAAGGGAGAGAGAGAGAGAGAGAGAGAGAGAGAGAGAGAGAGAGAGAGAGAGAGAGAGAAAGATAAATGAAAGAAAAGGAAAAAGATTAGTTTCTAATCTAATACATCTATTACAACATATATCTAATATATCTATTAAATGAACGACATATATCTAATATATCTCGTAGATATATGTCGTTGGCGCTAGCGATACAATTACAGGTTCTGATGGACGCTAGCGATGCATGGTTAGCGCCAGCAAACACTGCAATATCTTCTACATCATTTTACACTGTTCTGCACTTGGGTCTGCAGATATTCCATAGAGATAAGTTAAAGGGAGCTTATGTCCAACAAGGACACAGCGCACAGCACAACACAGTGAATTCTTATTGTTTGCTAACATTAAATCCATTCATTCAAAATGACGCTATTAATTAATTAAATAAAGTATAAAAATAAAGATGTTTGTTTTCATATATATATATATATATATGTGCATATTGTGTATCATATGTGTCATATCCCTGATAAAAATAAAAATCAGAGCGTAAGTTGAATGTAATGAGAGAGTAATTGAAGAGTAACAGAAGCGTAAACGAAACTTCTAGGAGGTGAAAATTGAAACATCAAAGTGTAAAAGAAGCGTAAATGTTTTTTTTACATTTTATTGTTCCAATTTTCGCCTTCTACGAGTTTCGTTTACGCTTCTGTTACTCTTCAATTACATTTGATTTACGCTCCGAATTTTATTTTCATCAGGGACAGTATATAACATCCATGTTTTTATACATATATTACGAATGCTTTAATCAAACACCTCGAAGAAATAAAAATTTCTCATACATATAAAATGTATATCTATTAATAGCGTTTTTAATCCAAGTAGGTTTGCATCGATTTAGGTTGGTTTATTTTATTATTGATGTTATATGTTCTACGAATAGAAGAGCATACAACGTCATTAATTCAATCCAAGTTGATGCAAACCCGCTCGGATCGAATATGCTACAAGAGAAAAGATCGAAAGAAGGAACGAGAAATAAAGACTAATCGATATGATTGTATCAATCTTTTCTCTTAGAGGTAGACTTTGCGCATAAACGAAGGAGAGAGAGAACGTATCTGCGCCAAATAAGTCCTTTTCTACGTGAACATTACCTCCACTCCTGAAATTTCGATGAATGTTCAATCTGGATATACTATATTTATGGAAATTTTAATTAATTAATAAATTTTATATAAATAGCATATAAACAACAAGTAGTCACCTCGGCGTGGTAGGTTTGTATCTCGATTCTGTAATTCTTAACGACAGTATCGGTATCGTTATATTGTTATTACGTAGATATTATACATGATAAAAAAAGTTACGCAATGGTAACATAACGATATCGAATTGTCGTAGACTTACAAAATTGAGATATTGGAGCACTTTCATGATGTTAGAAAAGTAAGCGAAGAGCTGCATTTTCATTGTATTTTATATTGTTCGTGGGGCCTTGCTGTCTTCCTACAATCAGTCACGGATGTTTTTATGCTTCAATTAGTTCACAAATGTATGTACTCCCTTTAAGCGGAAATCAACCGAAACCAACAAAAAAAAAATTTTTTTTCGTTGGTTTTGAATTTTTAAATTTTTCACTACAATCTCGAAAATTGAGGCCTCTGCTTCTCACAGAAGATATTCGATCAAAGCTGAACTTTGTAATAGTTTTTATTGACTCAAGTACGCACTATTTTTTCGCGCTATTAGAATTCGATCGTCGAAAAAAAGGTTTCTTCACCCCACCCTAATATATGTGTTATAGAAATATATTAAAAAGACAGAAAATAACAAATATCAATTGTAGATCGTATCTTTCGCGAGCACATTAGTCCATCGCTTACCAGTATCGACAATGACGTCGATGAGATCCATACTCTTGGCGAAAGCGTCTCTCAAGTTGATATGATGAAAAGACACGATGCTGCCTTCCCGTTTGGCCCTCTCAAGAGCCTCTCGTCTTTTGATGGCTTTTTCCCGTCTCATCTGATTTTTGTAGAATTCGGCGAAATTGTTGACGATAATGGGAATGGGCAACGCGATTACCAGGACACCACATATACAACACACACTGCCGATCACTTTGCCGAGCGGGGTCGTGGGGTAGATGTCGCCGTATCCGACGGTGGTCATTGTGATGCCTGCCCACCAGAAGGTCTCTGGAATGCTTATGAATTTGGTCCCGGGTTCCTCTTTCTCGGCAAAATAGGCGAGACTCGAGAATATGAGGACGCCCATTGCCAAGAAAAGCATCAATAATCCTAACTCTTTATACGAGTTACGTAAAGTGAAGCCGAGACTCTGCAGCCCGGTTGAATGACGGGCTAATTTCAGAATCCTTAGGATCCGCATTATACGAAAGATCTGCACTACCCTGCGCACGTCCTGGAACTGGTCGTTCGCATTTTTGTTGGTTTCGACCAGGAATAAAGATACGAAGTATGGTAGTATCGCCAGCAAATCGATCACGTTAAGACCGCCTTTGAAAAATTTCCATTTGTCCGGCGAGGCACTGAACCTAAGCAAGTATTCAAGAGTAAACCACGAAATGCACACAGCCTCCACCATAGCGAGCTGCGGATTGTCTTGAAAGTTTCCCTTCTCATCATTTACTTGCATACTAGGAATGGTGTTGAGAGTTAGTGCGATCGTTGAAAGCACAATAAAGAGTATTGATATCACAGCTATCACCTGAAAAAGTGACGGATCAACTGATCAAAGAAAGCTAATCACAAATTATTTAACTTACGTGTAACAATTTTCCCTTTTAATATCTTTATCTGTCTCTGATTGTAACTGAGTAATGAGTAAGTAAGGAGAAAGAGGAAGAAGGAAAAAAGAATAAGAAAGAGGAAGAGAGTTATAGGAAGAGATAAAGAGAAGAAAGGAAGAGAAAAAAAAGAGAAAAGAGGGAATGTGGGAGGGAGAGTGGAAAAAAAGATAAGAGGAAACGAAATAGAGAGAGGGAGAGAGAGATGGAGAGGAAGAGGAAGGGAGGGAGGAAGGGGGAGAGAGAGAGAGAAGCCACCCATCAAATGTTCCTCTTGCATTCGTGAACATGCATCCTATTCTTTTCTTTTCTCTTCTCCTTCTCCCACGCGCTTCTATCTATCTTTTTTCCTTCTCTTCCACATTATCTCTTCATTACAGTCTCTTCATTACAGTCTCTTATCATGACTCACGCTTTCTCTTTTTCTGTGCCTCTTTTTCTCTTTCTCTCTCTCTCTCTCTCTCTCTCTCTCTCTCTCTCTCTCTCTCTCTCTCTCTTCCTCCTTCTTTCTTCCTTCTTTTCTCTCTTTTTCTTTCCTCATCTCGCTCCCTTTTGTGTACATACGCATACTCGCGTACTCGTGTGTATGATTGTAGGATGGCCCACGTAAAGTGTGACAAGCCAAGTCAATAACTCGAAAAATGTGGAAGATATGAAAAAAGTGAAATGGTTTCGAGGGAGACGTATTTTGGTCACGTTCTTGATGAAAGTGCCAAAAAGGTACGAAAGTTATCTCCACTTTTTAAATGAAATTGTATGACTTTTTGTACATGATATGATTTCTCTAGTTATTATGCATATAAAAATATAGGGTCTATATTTTTTCGACGCTTGGTGGAGGTACTCCTCAAGATCTTTCCTAAATACTGAATGTCTGTTTTCCACGAGAGAGAGAGAGAGAGAGAGAGAGAGAGAGAGGACGAGAGGATGTTTAAGAACAAAGATATATATACAAAGGTCGGATTTAGAGATAGGATCTTGTATCAAAATAAAAATATAAAAAACCAATAGTTTATTAAATACTTTATTCCGGCACATATTGAAATATTAAATCTACATCTCATATAAACTATTATTTTTTTATAAGCCTTAATACTTTTATGAACAGAATAATGAGATGAATCAATTGTTAAAGAAAACACACAGTTGCTTAAAAAAAATTGTAAGCAAAATGGATAATTTTTTAAATAAGCAACTATGAATTTTCTTTGCATCAAAATTCATTTATTTCATTATTTTGTTCATAAAAGTATTAAAGCACGATTATCAAAAAATTAATAATTTACGAGATTTGTATTTAATATTTCATGTCAATATGTGCTAAAATAAAGTATAAAATATCTCACAACTTTTTGATATCTTTACCTTAATACTTTTATATGCAGAATAATTGGAGGAATCATATTATGTAAGTAAACTGATATAGTTTGTTTCACTCTAGCTTATTGTACTAGTTCAGAACTAGTTCAGAACTCTTCGAAAAAAACAGGCCTAATATTATACATCCATACTCAGTCCGAGGGTTACTAGTCGGATGTGTAAGCTTATGTTTTCCAGTGACAATTACATGTTACTAACTGCGGCTATAAAAGAGACTGGAGGACGTTGAGCGGTCGGCACTTTTGTTATTTTTTTTTATTCAATGCAGGCTGAAAAGCTACATTTAATCTAACCTTATCCGAAACGGACCTTATTCGAAGCCGCGCATAGCGTACACATTCTGTTCCAACTGAATCGTGCACAATGCTACACTTTGTGCATTCCTGTGTACAGTGAGTCACAGAAAGATTGCAATATTTTTTTTCGATGGGTTTCGAAATGTAGTCTGCTCATTGAAGCGATTGGCTCTTATTTACATTCAATCATTCTATAAGCAAAGGCTGAGTCAGGCTAAGTCCCGAAATGCATAATAAAAGTGTTGCAACCTTTCTGTGATCCACTGTACATATTTGTGTTAAGATGTGTTAAGCAATTGGAAAGCATCATCCTATAACATCACGTCGAATTATATAATTATATTTAAAGATTAGACACTCCGTGTCCAGATCCATTCTTGGAATGTCAACATTTCGTGAACCTTGCAATTCACTTCATTAGAACGAGGAGCAGCCTGATACATCATGGATCTAGATACGGAGGAAACTCGCGAAACGCATAATCTTTATATAGAAAGCACCCGTGGAAGCCTCAAGAATAATATAATTATATTGTTATTGTAATTTTATATTTTCACTAATTCCATGACAATTCAAAAATAAATTTTTTTATAACTTTGGAGTATGACTTTTTTGAAATACTGTATCTGTAACAAAATATAAAACTGATAATGACGAATTACGAAAATGTTTCTACAGTGATAGAATTAAGCAAATATGAAATAACATATAATCTTTTAGCGCATTTGCGATATATATACAATAAGCAAGCAAATATACAAGAAAACAATTTTTTGATTGAGTACTTTTTCCACATTGAATACGACATACATACAAAACTTCTTATTTTATTTGAATATTAAACAAAGAATTAATGCTATCTCTTACTTTCCCAACTTCTTATTATAATTATGGTTACTAAGATGTTTTTTTAGAAATATTAGTAATCTTGTTGAAGAATAATACAATGAAGGTCTAATATTGTTAAGAAAATCTAGTGTCGAGTGGTATTTATTTCTAAGCATAAATCCGTTTTGTTCTTCCGTGTGCTTATATAAAGTAGAATGGATAAATGCGTTTAGCTAAGCCGAAAGATTCTTGCAATACAAAATACAAAAGGAGAAAGGCCATTGAAGAAGCAACATCTCTGATTAAGAGAGCCATCATATATGCAAGGAGGACATGATATAACTTCAATAAGCAAATGTTTCTGTGAAATTGAAGAATATACTGATTCAATAGAATCAATAGTGTTTTCCTAGAAACGTGTAATGTAACTTTGTGAACATAGCTTTACCAGAGAATATCTCGTCGTTCAAACGCAGTCTGCCCGACGTCGCTCGACTTATACAATTTTATTGCATTGTTCGGCTAGCTTAAAAACGTGCGTCCCTTCAAAACCCCGCTCCCTTGCTCAGAATTATATATGAACTTGTTCTTTAAGAAATCATTAGTCCATCTCCTCCTTCCCCTGTGTGTCTCTCTTCCTAATATTTTTTTAGTCTAGAGCAATCGCTACAATACGAAATCAATTCGTTGCTTCGAAGAGTTAGCGAAATCATAATACCAACGTTATGCGCAGGTTGTTATAAAATAATAATGATTTTGCTTCACAATATTTAAATTGCAAGTAAATAAGGAAAGTGCACATACATTCGATAGCAAATCAATAAAGCAGCAGGTTTGCTTACATCTTTCTTTATTTGCAATTATCCTTTTAAAAAATAATGTTATTTTAAATAATATTATTTTAAATAATATCAAATAAAGAAATAAAAGTTTTGAATATTTATGTACAGAAAAATAAAAAACGACTAGAAATGTTTTATTTTCTAGAAAATAAAACATTATACAAGGTAATTTAATACAAGCACGGATAACATTTGAAAGATAATAAAATATACATTTTTTAAATCTTATATCCAAAGCAACACATTTCATATGATTATGAAATAGAGGTGAAATTATATACAAAGTATCCCAGAACATTTGGAACTATTTTTATATGCAGATAGCACGGAGTAAATTGAGTTAAAAAGTCTTCTACAATTTTTCAGTTTTCGCAATAATTAACGAGTTATTAATTATTAAAAATCGCAGTATTAGCCTATCCTAAAAAATTATTGAATCTAAACTAAAATTGTTCTGAAAATTTTGCTGAAATTTATTGAAATTTTCTCAAAATTAGATTTAAATTTTGCTAAAAGCATTATTAAAAAAATGTATATACCGAAAAATCGCTGAAATTGCACTAAAATTTCTCCGCAAATTTATCCGAAAATTTTTTCAAAAATTTTATGATATTTCTCTAAAAATATATTGAACATTCTTTAACATTTTACTAAAAGTATTGCAAAATTGTTAGAAACATACGAAAATTTATTTTTCTACATTTATGTTTCATGGTTTTAACATGTGTGAGAAGACAGTATGATATTAAGTATATTCTATTAGTACATTATAATTATATTTAACATTAATTATTTTTTTCTATGTTCCATCTTTTGCACAATGTTTAATCAGATATGTGACACAACTACGTCTGTTAGTATTATAGTATGAATAATTGAAGGATCAGTTCCCGTTCAATCGCAGAGAAGATCATGCATGTTGGAGTACAACTTAGGATGGAAATATCATAAAATTATTTACCGAATTCAAGAAAAATGTTCTTTTTATTATAATTTTATTATATGTCCTCTGTAATATGAAATCAGTAATACTTATTTTAGCAATAAAACTGGATCAATTAATTTCACTAAAATTTTACTGAAATTTCACTGAAAAATATTTCAAAACAATTTCAGTACAATTTCAATGAAGTTTCAACGAAATTTCAGCGAAATTTTTCCACCAGAGTTGTACCTATATTTAAGATAAAATAATATTATATATTAAAATTGAGTAATTGAATAATATCTGTCTCTTTATTATTTTATATTTACATTTAAGATAAAATAATATGTTATGATTGAATAATAGATACTTTATAATTACTACATTTTGATGAGAGTGGCGTACTTGCATACAGTTCAATTGCACACATCACTCACATCGGTCTGTTCCTAGTAATTTTCACTGCTTCATCAATGAAATTATATTATTTTAAATTAGCCAATTAGTTAGCACTGAAAAAAAATTTACGAAATTTGAATAAATATTGTTTAGATAGTACCAATGGAACCATTTGCTTACAGACAATATTTATTCTATTTAAAAAAAAGATATTTAAATTAAATATAATTTTTTTAATTGAATAAATGTTT